AATATGAATTATCAAAGCTCAGTGCAAGGCAAGTGTCCGTGCGTGACTGTCTTACTTTGAATGGAAAACCTTGTACATCTTCCTGCAATGTTTTTTGCATCCCAGTTTCGTCCTATCAGTCGTTTTACATTGAATACAGTGTTTTCATGGTTCAGCGTCAGTTGATTGAGGGCGCCATCACCGACGAGGCGCTCGCGATGTGAAAGCAACGTAGGAGGGCGTGATATGATTACCTTGGTTATTAGCTATGACATTGACACGACCATACCGGTATACACCACTGGAATAATACATAAATAAAATGAGACGTATACATAACACATTGTCTGCTTGCATAGACTTTGAATGAGCGCCGCACGGCGATTTCCGTCCTTTAAGCCTATTAAAAACAACTGCAACGTAAGTAAGAAGGAATAACTTCTTTTTTGTTAAGTATATTCTAACATTGATAGCATTGATTCTCTCAGTAGGAGACTTGAATTTATATAAAATGACGGTTTCTGTGAGCCATAGGCTCACACTAGTACATATATCTGTCGACAGCCAAGACGAATGTAGACGCAGTTACACGGGTTACTCACCATGAATATGTCGTTCCAAGGTCAATCCAAATAACACTTTCTATTACGTCACATCTGACGCTACAAATGGTCAGGATAAGAAATGCGCAACTCCAACACGTGGTTTTCATGATGACTGCAGTTCACTGCAATGAACTGAATCCGTCGCATTTGCAAAACAAACATGACTAATCAAATGTCATTACCTTAATGTGACTCTTTGAGACGATGCAAATTCAGTCATCTCAGACCCGGAAGCTGAAAAAAGCCAAGTGTTCAATATTCATTTTAAACCTCTGCGTTATCGCCATCCTGTCATTATAAATGAAAGACCAACCTCTGTAGTTTGGGGGGGGGGTGTTCGGGGGTTTAGTCGAACCCCCTAAATTTTGGTAGTGAATACAATTACGATCGTAGATTGGAACATATTAAAACAAACAGTATTAATTAAAATAATTACCATCGTTTAAATCACTTGACTCAGTGAGGTAACTATCAGACTCAGTCGAAATTGCATAGTAATGAGCATTTTGGTGGCAACGAGCTTTAAATGTTAATCGTGAAGTTGGGCCATCTCCGCTCAACAGCAGCCAATCAAAACAGGTTGTTATAAATGGGCAAGCTTTTATTCGGTGATTCCGCGATGGTGTAATGAAGATCGCGTTCAAGCAGCTGATGTCAAATATTAAAACAGATAAGCATATTTATACAACAATTAAACAATAATGTAATGATATTCACTCCCTGAAGGATGTGGTGGCCCTGAAAAAAGGCCGTTTGTCTTGTGCTAGTGTTCGCTCAGTTAGTACAATCGAACGGAGTTGATCGGTCCCGTAATTTTTCCAGCACAACACTACATTGTACTTTCCAAGTTTGGTTCATTAGTTTTGTATTTACAGATTTACAGCGAACCAAAAAATATACATACTATAAGAAACTTGGTGGTATGCCATTGTTTAGTGCATTCAATTTATTTGATACAATCATTGGTCAGATGGTTGTTATGGTAGCGAGATATGGGAGTACGAATATTCGGAGATCATCGAGAGGGTACAGACAAATTTTTGCAGATATATACTTAGCGTTAATAGTTGTACAAACAATGTAGCGGCGTTGGATGAATGTGGAAGGCTCCTGCCATTATGCTGTGTTTATTTCAATAAATAATAAATTGACTAATATGAAATGAATAAATGTAGACAAATTTCGACATGAAATCGTTTCACTGCTATGTGCGCTAACATCTGCGAACAGCGGGAAAAATATGAGTAGAATTCTACCTTAAAATGCGTACAAGCGTAAAAAGATACGTACTATCGTGTCTTTTTGTGTACAACAATTTGCCGTAGTAAAATTGAAAAATAGTTCAAAGATGTTATGTGAAATAACTTAACAACGTCACCCAAAGTAAGCCAATTAAATTTAAAACCGAGAATATAAAAATATCTGTAACAGAGCTCTAAAATACTAAAGAATCCGCTCTTTTTTTTTAAATTAAAAATTCCCACGTTCCACATCTAATGTACTATTGTTGTTTTTCGAACCCCCTTTCAAGAGTGCTGGCTACGGGACTGTTAAGCACACTTACCTGTGTAGGATGTAACATACGTCTTGTATAGCAGTAAGATTCCTTCACAGTTAACTAGTGCGTTAGATACATGCGTCATTTCAACAAACGTATTTAGGGACTGGTCATTTTCTTTGGCCGGGGTTCCGGGGGAATCGCAAAAGTTTGAAAGGGTTTTGTCCCCCCTCAAACAAAAACAAAACAAGTGTGTCCCCCTTCACATCATCTGAACAGTGACCCCCAAGAACTTTTGAGTCATATTACATGTAGCTTCGAAGTGAGTAGCTTTCGCAGTGAGTAACTGGTCGGAGTTGAGAATTAATGTCATTAATGAATGATGTTAATCTGGGAATACCATCCTTAGGAGCTGTTAATTTGTCCTTATGTTTTGTGCAGTTGCTCTAGCAGGAGTTCCTAAATAAAACCCATGCTCTGATTTTATCACCTAGTTTCTTACTTCGACCATGGAACATTTACAAATTCATAGAATGGGCTTTGCATCATGCATTCTGGTTATACTGCTTTAGTGACATACTGTAAGTATTGATGTTCCAGAAGGATAGTTGAATATTGTTTATGGAAACTAATAATCCACAGCAAAAATGTTCAATATAGATAAGAAATTATAGTAAAACACAAATGTATACAAAACACGAATTAACCATTGTTTATCCTTGAAGGAAACTAGAATCACTCGCTTTTAAGGCTGTCATAATAAGCGAATGGTGAAAACCGTGTTTATGTCATCAGAAATTGAAGACCCCATACATACATTTGCACTAAGTAATTTTATGTTTGCTCAGCGCATTTAGGTCTATATGCTGCAAGTTAGAGTGCACATACCCAAGCAACCGTCCCTCAGCAAATGATTTAGGCCAGGAATTTTCTGTGTCAAAATATCTGTTTTAACGCAACCTGGGAAGTCCGAATTACTAAACGAAGTAAAGGACAACAAAACTGAAATATCAATAGACATTCATAACAATGGAAAGGGATCATGATGAAACATTACATTTAGACAATTCCAATTCGTTATAGAAGAATTATGATATCAAGTTAGTGTGTTTTGAGTTGTGTTCAGATAGAACTAACATGTATTTGTGGATTTAAAATTGAATTTCTACAAAAAAATGCAAAACAACCGAGAGAAAGCTCAAATAAATTCTTATTCGTCTGGCTCTCCATAAATTCTGTGAGTGTTAGAAATGATATTAAGAAAAAATAGAAAACAAGTGAAAAATATTTCCCAAATACATACATACTTGAATTTTATTCATCTTATGATTTTTAGTAAATGAAAAAATCTCAATGTATTTGTATATAATTTCTTTACTGAAATAATAGTCCATTGCTTATATGACTTTATCATCTTTTTCAAAAGGAACATGAAGTTTACTATAAGAAGTGTGACCAAATTTGTTCAGAAGGTTAAATGCCAAATATATAACTGAAAACAGGTCCTGGTTTCCAGTATTTGGGAGGATTTTCAAAGAGGCATATTTCAGTCAAAACACACTGTGACAATGTCTTTTAATAAATGTTGTAAACCACTGCAATATAATGGTGTACATTAACGTGGCATTGATGTCCTTTGAAATCATCTTATTGATATATTTTATGACAGAATGAATTAATACATCAACGGAGTGATTATTGAAGAATTGTCGTAGACACCGCAGGGTCACACATTATTACTATTATTCAATAATAACTGTTCAACATCGTGTGCATTAGTAAAACAGACAACTGAGTAATTTCGAACAATTCAAACAAGACCATCATGTTTGAAATGCAATGCACGAATATACGAACAAGATAAACATAATTTACCATTGCCTATATTTTTTTTTCAAAATAAACATTAAGTTTATTATGCGAAATGTGACCAACTCTGACGTTGACGTTCTGAAGGTTAAATGCCAAATACGTTACTGAAAGGAAACTTGAAAAGGTCAGACCTCACACTGTGATGTCTTTTAGTAGTGAATAATTTGTAAACTACTGTAATACATGACTGGAGGTTGATTTCCATGTACATCTGATGGGATCAAAACTGACTCAAAATTCCGTCTCCAATGTGTTATCCATTCAAATAATTTTAAACTACACTTCAACCTTTCCGAATACATGTAAGAACTCTGTATCATGGAATATACACTGTCACGCATATTTGTAATGTCTATAACCAATTGACTAAAGTAATCATGCACTGCCCGTATTGATGAATTCCATTCATATCGCCATTTGTATTGCTGCGACGATTGCTTCTTTGTTGATTATATGCTATGTCGCAGCTGGTAACAAAGTTTATATTTTATTATACTTACAATTATATACTTACAAAATATAACCTTATTTTATTTTTGTATAAGTAATACCTCATGTCACGATGATGGAGAAAAAATGAGATAAAATTATTGGGTACAAAATGAAGTGAATATAGCATGTTTTGTCCTATGGGTTGGGTATATCTCAATATGTCAAAAGTGAGATCGGTGAAAAAATAATGCTCAACAATGTACTTGTAGTCCTATGGGGACCATTGCTAATTTGCCATTTTATGCAGAATTTATTTTAAAGCTTGAATTTATTTATTTATTTGTTGTTCGTCCGTACATCAAGCGTAAATATGGACATATACTACATTTAATTTACATACGAAATATCAATTTACTGAATACTAGTATACACATTGAATAAGCAATTTGAAATTATGTAAGACATTTTGATTTATATTTGATTTGTGCACACCTTCAAATAAATTCAACAAATACATATAGATACGTTCATAACATTAGAATAATCTTCATCGATAACGAGTCTGTCTTATTCGAACTGTGCATTACTTGACCGACATAATAACATATAATGGTTTATATAATAACCATTTTCTTGAACGCGTGTCTAAACTCTTTATTATACCAACCATAAATTAAAGGATTTATAGCAGAATTCATGACAACAAATATATCAGCTACAACATTAAACGAGTATCGAGTGCAATAGTTTGTTTCTGTGTGAAGCATAAATATCAACTGTGGAATCCAACATACCACAAAGGCTCCTAGTACAACACATGGCATGACGGCGGATTTCAGCTTTCCATGAATCTCGACAGTTTCTTGTCCAGACACTTGTAATTGTGCACGGATAATTCTCATTTGTTTTCTGGCAGTTAGAAAAATTCTTATATACATGACTATCATAATGACCAAAGGTATCCCAAATAAAGTGAAAAACGCAAGTATATGAACCCCCAGTGGTATGAGTTCATTCCATAGTCTACAGTCGATTTCCTCAATGTAGTTTGAATGTTTGGATAGTAGTACTATGCCGACCATGATGAGAAAACTTGCAATCCATGTTAAGACAATAACAGCTTTGGCTCGTGGTGCTGTTACCCATCGCAGATGATGTAATGGGTATATAATGGCAATATATCTGTCAACAGCAATGGCGAAGAGATTGTATATCGATACGCAATATGGAGTTAATGAAAGCACAATTAGCATGAAACACGTACCCGTCGCGTAGAATACCCCTGGACGTTGAATCATAAGTAAAGTCGGGAATGTACCAAAACCAATCAGTCCATCAGTGACGGCCAGGCTTACAATAAAATAATTTGTTATTGTCTGCAAGTTTGTGTTCTTGTAAACGGCAGCTATCACCAATAAATTCCCCATGATGGTTAGAATAACCAAGACTGACATTACTCCACACAGGCAATAGAACATAGTCATTTGATCTGTCATGTCCTCGCAATGGCTATATGCTACGCTCAAATTACACTGTGGAGACCCGGATACTTCCATTCCAAGTGTTGTGTGCACCATCGTAACGTGGAGACGACATAGAATTACAGTCAGTCGGTTTAGATAAACGAATCCCACACTGTTAATACAGCTATCAGACTTCCGAGTCAATATATTCAGTTTAAGCCAGTCAGGCAGCGTATTCTTACTTCCCTAAAGGCATCAACGATGTCACATTTTAATTTCCCTGGTTACCCATTATTGGCATTTTAAACATACTGCCCATTCAATAACTAATATACCATTAGTTGTCTATAATGGCTCTTCAATCTGAAGTCACTTACCTTAAGGTAGCGAGACTATTATTTGTGTTGAAAATTACGATTTTCACATTTATTTATTAATTGATGAAATGCACTATAAACTTTCATGTGATAAAGTCAACATAACATAGAATGTCATGTAAGTTGGTTAAAATGTAGATTTTCTGAAGGGAAACAAGGCAGCCTCAGTAGTGTTTTTCAAAATCAACAACACAGGTTTAATCTGTGTGCCTATAAGTTTCAAAGATAAACTCAAGACAAAGCAATGTTAGGATGTGTTA